CACCGTGTAGTCATCCGTCAGTCAAATTATCCGCAAGTTGAAAATTGTATCTGTTCATACAAAATAAAATTGATATTACCATTTATGATTACTGGTTCATGTTGCTTTGGAAACTATTAAAGCGGGGGAGTCGTCACCTGCGCATGCGCTACATGGCCATAGTGTGTCATTGTTTACAAACAAGCGTCTACCCATGAGCTTTTGTGTTTTTAGCGTGTGTTGTTATCGTCGCCTGAGACTTAATTCCCGCGCGTGCGCAGGTGACGACGACGACGCTTTAAAATAAGTATTTAGCCCACAGTCACATGCTCAAGTCAAAATATAGATTTCTTTTATAAATATAAAGCATCTCTAACTAGGAATAACTATTCACTAGTATTAACATTATACAACATATATTTCAAAGTTGAAATTTGGGGTCAAATCACCAGCACATATAATACCTAGAGAAAATTTCTAACTGTTGACACAGTCATTATTTTGTTGTTTTTGTTTGTTATGTTGCAATTCGTGGTCAAAATGACGATTTTTAGATCAAATTATTAAAACACGCTAACACTTCTTCTGAATTCGGGAGACCACAAGCACAGTTTGAAAATCGATTACACACCAACTAACTAGTAATGAATAATCGCCAGTAGATATTATATATAGAAACTTTGACACAGTCATTATATCTGTATTCAATATTGGCTGTGCTCAAGCACACAATTCTCCCCAAAGTTCTCCTTGCGGCTAGAGCACCAAAGTTTATATTCGTAAAAATAGAACTCTGCCAACAGTAGAAATCAGCCGAGATTTGGAGAATGAATCGCCAATATATACAAACTCTAAATCGGTTTCACCGTCGGCATACCCTGCTATAAAACATATTATTTCCGGTTTTAAGTTTGCAGTTTAAAGTATTGATTCCACATATTCCACCAGGAATACGGCTATTTCGTTATTCCCTATTTACCTGAATAGCAAGAGCAATGTGTAGAAAACGCTGCATAAAAAGGCAATCGACCTTTTTTCGGGTCATCGCTGCCTATTGTGTACATGGAAACACAGTCCCTCTATTGTCCATTGAGAGGGACTGTGATCGAAACAATCTACAGTTGCCGCGAGGTGTCAACTTCTTTACAGGACTACGATTTGCGTCATTTGTGAACATTCGCAATGTTTTTTATATCAGGGTACAGAATAATATCAGCTAGAAGTTTGGCCAAAATTATTTCTCCAGTGGCCAGAAGAACGAGGTCGACGCCATTGGATTTGGGTTATCGCCGACAGGTCAATGTAAATCAAATTCGGTAGGACAAGTCAATATTGTTTACAGTGGCAATTCACATAAATACATTACTCCGGATGTCCCGTCGGTTTACTCCGTTTTGGCGCTATGATTGCTCACATTTTTATCACACACACCAATTTATCCCTGCCCCTTTATTATCGCGGACATTTCACTGGGTGTGTCTGATAAATAACTAATGTTAATGAAAAAACTAAAAATGAACTCGACCTATTTTGAATCAGTTATCCTATGTCTAGCATTATATCAATGTTAGTTTATACATGCAGAAGTGAACAGGTAGAAGCGTTTCTCGTCATCTGGGTTTCTCCGCTGAGTCGGTCGCCAAAATGTTTACGTACAGCACAATAATAAATTACGTGACGTTTATTGTCACCGTTCTGCATACATTCAACTCGTTGTTTGCCTTGCCCGTAGTGTAGAGTAAACGAAGGGGAAGGTATAGTAAGGAAAAGATTTTGGTGTCGTCATTGTTGTTGGCGTGACTTGTGCGTGTGATAACTCAAGTAATGTTCACACGATCGGTTTCAAATATATATATGTTATAAACAAACATGCATCGATGGCCAAGTTCGATGTTGGAGCATTTTGCTTGCATAATTAATGAGAGATGGCTACTGATTGGTTTTCGCTTGTGGGCGCGATAACTTAAGTAATTTTCACCCGATCGGTATAAAATTTATATATGTTGTGAACAAAAGTGTAAGGATAACCAAGTTCAATATTGGTGCACTTTACATGCATAATTAATGAGATATGTGGTGATTATTTTTTCAGTTAAAACGTAATTGTTGTGAAAGCTTTTTTAGTTAATGAAAAGTAATTTTAATGTTTTGAAATTCAATCCTCCTAATCTGTATATGGATTTAACGAGAATATCCATGATGTAATAGTTGTTTTGAATTTCTTTGGCTGTTTTCATTGTTGTGTGATTATGTATATATTTCATCTTATTGGAACGAGTGCCATCTTAAGTTCTTTATAGAAAAATGCCTTGTTTTTACTCTAGTTAATATTTGACCTTTGTTTGAAGTCACTGTATGGTAATTTTATCTGTTCAAAGTTTATTTTCAAACACATTTGTCAGTTTACACTGTGAGCAGTAATCTCCTCAAATAGCTGCATTAGGTTTACTATGTGTGTCATTTCATTTTCATTGTGTGACTTTAGTATGTTTTCCCATCTTATTATAATCAGGGCTACCTGGAGTTCATTTTTAGAAAATGCTTTCTATTAATACTTTAGATAACATTTGATCTTTGTGAGAAGTCATTGTAAGGTAATTAGATCTGGTCAAGGTTTATATTCAAGCTCAGTTGCCAACAACTGTTTTTCATCAGTACAAACACATTCTTTTAGTTAACTTAGTTTGTTAAACCACAGTCGTGAGGAACTGCACCTGTGCTCTGTACTAGTCCTCATTGTTCATTGAGATACCAACTAAGTGCAATCAGTTTTGTGAAGTTGCTAATGTACTTGGATAATAAGTTATATCCAAAAGTTCACATATAATAATTATGCTATAAGTTGCTATAGAGCATATTCAGTATTTGTCAGTGCAATATAAGTGTTCTAAAGACATTACTGTACAATCAGTTATATTCTATTAAGTCACATAAGATAGTTATACTATAGATTGCATATCTAGTAGTTGTTAACTGAGCTGCATTTGCTAATATCCAGACTAATAAGTTAACTTTGCACAATTATATAAGTGTCATTCCAATATTATCATTATTTAGAATGCCTTGACTTAAGAAAAAGAGTTTTAGACTGAAACGCGAACAAAATCGTAAATACATACAGTGTGCGAGTCACAGCCTCAACAGTACAGTATACAACAAAACAACAAAAAGTAAATAGTGAAATAATTCCTCGGTCAGGTAATCATGTAGAATTAGATGGTGTTACCAATGAAGTTGATAATTTTATGGACCAATTAATGAACAAACTTAACAGACTAACAAATCAAAGTGAAATATCTTCAAATGTAATGCAATTACTAAATCAGTTTCACCTGTATCAAAAAAATATTGGGAGAACTGATTAGATAGATGTTATAAATGGACTCCCTTGTGCTGGTTTACAAAACCTTGGACTTACATATTATCAATATGTTATTATAGAAGTATTAATACATACATGTACTCCAGCATTTGCAAGCTACATTTTTACCAAATCAAAAACGCATCAATGCAGAACAAATAAAACACTGTCTTGTTTTTTTATGTGAATGAGAATCATTTATAATCCAGATGTATTTAGGTAACAACAGTTTCAATAGTGCAGCATGGTTACAGAAATACATTAAAAGTACAGATTTATTTAATGCTCTTGTGGAAAAGGATGCCTATGAGTTTCTTGTGATTATATTTGATACATTAGAACAATATGATGTAAATAGTAATAATATGCCAGTATATACTTTACAAAGTATATTTATGGGTATCTATAATAACACATATAAATCAAAACACTATGCATATCAGAATGTTAGACTTGAACCATTTACTGTTTTACAACTTCCTATCACATATTCTAGTAATAATGAACCAATTTATATTTCACATTGCCTTAATGATTATTTTAGTGAAGAAACAATACATGAATATTCGTGTAGTCATTGCAACGAAGTTCATAACAAAAATGTGACCAATCAAGTACTACCACCATACAACTTTTTCAAATAACAGTTACTATGATAATACTTCATACTAGTTATATCGTGTAATAGTACATCAGTCTAATCCATTACATTACTATGCCTGTATTAAAACGTCTGATAATGGTATACATTTAATGATGATAGCATAACACTTTTTGATATCGAAAAAGTTTAAAAAGAACAGGCTTACATGTTATTTTATCAGTTGATAGAAATAAATAGTAATTTCTATTAATCTGCCAATTACAGTCAAGAACCATGTCAAATACTTAGTTGGCAAGATTTATCTCCTGATGTGAATCAGGTTCAAAATAAGGCTGATGTTCAAGGAAAGATAGAGAAGGAGAAGAATGCAATGAGGTTAAAGAGAAAAAATATAGATCAATTAGAGAGGGAGAAGAATGCAATGAGATTACAGAGAAAAAATATAGATCAATTCGAGAAGGAGAAGAATGCAATGAGATTAAAGAGCAAAAATATAGATCAATTAGAGAAGGAGAAGAATGCAATGAGAATAAAGAGCAAAAATATAGATGAATTAGAGAAGGAGAAGAATGTAATGAGATTAAAGAGAAAAAATATAGATCAATTAGAGAGGGAGAAGAATGCAGTGAGATTAAAGAGAAAAAATATAGATCAATTAGAGAAGGAGGAGAATGCAATGAGGTTAAAGAGAAAAAATATAGATCAATTAGAAAATGAGAAGAATGCAATAAGGTTAAAAAGAAAAAATATAGATCAATTAGAGAGAGAGAAGAATGCAATGAGATGAAAGAGCAAAAATATAGATCAATTAGAGAAGGAGAAGAAGGGAGGTGGTCAAAATCAAAACAGCGGTTTCATGGCCCGGTATACGCGGAGCTGATTTGTCCTCCTGGAAGCTCCCCTGAGCTTCGAGAGCTCCGGGCTATATGTAAATTTATGCAAGAATATTCAAGGCCTGAAAATTCAGTGCGGCGCCTGAAACAAATTGAAAACTCATTGTTTAACTCTAAAAAACATCAATTGTTGAATAAAATAGGACAACTTAAACGTTCATACATTTAAACGTTTGTACATATTTAGGACATTGTAGCAAGGTTTCAGCAGACTTATTTCCTAGCGTCGTGTAAATAGTAGAGTTTACAAAATAGCTGGCTGTAAATATTTGTTTTGTCACGTAGCTTTGTCGGCGTAAACATAGGACGACTTGCGTTATAACTAGCACTGATTTTAATATAAATAGTTATTTCTAAATAATAAAAAAAAAATTATAGTGGAACGCACAGAAATATAAACTTGTGCTTTGCCGA